TTTTCTCTTCCTCATAATTTTTTTTTTTAAGATTTTATTTATTCATGAGAGACACAGAGAGAGGGGCAAAGACATAGGTAGAGGGAGAAGCAGGCTCCACGCAGGGAGCCCGATGTGGGACGATCCTGGGACTCTAGGACCACGCCCTGGGCTGAAGGCAGGTGCTAAACCGCTGAGCCACCCAGGTGTCCCTCTTCCTCATAATTTCTTAACATTTTCTTTTCTCTAGCTTACTTTATCATAGGAATATACTGTTTAATATATATAATATACAAAATATGTGCTGTTATTAGTAAGGCTCCTGGTCAACAAGGCTATTAGTAGTTAAGGTTTTGGGAAGTAGAAAGTTGTATGTGGATTTTCAACTGCACTGGGGTCAGTGTCCCTAACCCCCACATTGTGCAAGGGCCATCTGTATACATATACCATGCATATTAAAAAAAAAAAAAAAAAGGAAAAGAAAAACCCAGCTCACTTAATAGAACAAAGCTAAAGCCTCTGAACCTCTGTATTTTCAATTATTCTTTTTTTTTTAATTTTTATTTATTTATGATAGTCACAGAGAGAGAGAGAGGCAGAGACACAGGCAGAGGGAGAAGCAGGCTCCATGCACCGGGAGCCCGACGTGGGATTCGATCCTGGGTCTCCAGGATCGCGCCCTGGGCCAAAGGCAGGCGCCAAACCGCTGCGCCACCCAGGGATCCCTTCAATTATTCTTAAATCTGACATATAACTTATTCTTTTAGTCCAAATTTGATAGGCTTTACTTGGGATGTCTGGGTGGCTCAGAGGTTGAGCATCTGCCTTTGGCTCAGGGTGTGATTCTGTGATTCAGGATCATGTCCCACATCGAACTACCTGCATGGAGCCTGCTTTTCCCTCTGCCTGTGTCTCTGCCTCTCTCTCTCCCTCATGAATAAATACATAAAATCTATCTATCTATCTATCTATCTATCTATCTATCTATCTATCTATCTATCTATCTATATAAAGGCTTAATCTTACCTTGTTTTATCTGCTTGATAGTGTTCGGATAAAACAAAGAATATATGCTAAAAAGGGAGTATGAGGCAGATGCCTCTGGCATATACTAGCTCAGGAGTGATCACATACTGGTCTATTTTATTCTTTTCAGGCTCAGGGTCACACAGCAAGTGGGATATATGGAAATAAGATTTAAAATGTTGGTGATTTTGAGGTCTTTTTCCCCCCTTCACATCAGACAGGTGATGCGCCGAGGTCACAAACATGGTTTGAGGGAGGCACATGTCACACAATGGTGTGAACACCACCCAATGATTATGCTTATGGACTATATAAAAAGATCTAAAAGATTTTTTTAAAGTCACAACTCCTATTAGTCAAATGAATTTGGTTAAGTTTAACTTTTCAGGAGAAGGGTAAACTCCATAGGGCCAGGGATTTGTGTTTGTCTTGTTCAAAGATATATTCTAAGTACCTAGACGGTGTGTGCACACAGTAGGTTCTCAGTAATATACCTGTGGAGAGAACAGATAAACAGCAAGTACTGTGTAAAGCAAGCTATACCTGCAGCTGTGTCTTTATTTTGGTTTATTATTTGATCAATTTCTTGGTTTCAGGATGTCTGCTGGCATCTTTATTTTTTTAAGAATTTATTTATTGGACAGAGAGTGTGCATGAGAGAACACAAGCAGAGGGAGGAGCAGAGGGAGAGGGAGAAGCAGGCTTTCCGCTGAGCAGGGAGCCCTATATGGGGCTCCCTCCCAGGACCCTGGGATCATGACCTGAGTGGAAGGCAGATGCTCAACCGACTGAGCCACCTGATGCCCCTCTGCTGGTACCCTTTAATAAACTGTAATTTGTTCACAGCAGTGTATTTCTTTGCTAAGCTTTCTAGTTAGTCCTCAGATTTTTTTAAAAAAAGGCTGAGTAAAAAAAAATTTAAAAGGCTGAATAAGATCTTATACATGTTACAGTGGTTTGAAAATCATTTTCAAAGTACTTTTGGACTGTTCTTAACCACTCAATTCTCCAAATTTTAATAAGATGCCTTCTAGTCCATAGGATTCCCCTGAATTCTGGCTATATATGAAGTAGTGATATCTGAGTGACTGGCATTCTGCAAGTCACTGAAACAGCGTGGAAGGTAAAATCATACTAACAAAAAATGCTCCACTAAGTATCTTTCAAAGGAAATGTATAAACCCAGAAAACTCCGCTAAATAATGGAAAACATTCTGCTCGCTGGCCAAGTAAAAGATTCATCATTACAACAGTCTAAGATAGTACCCACCTGGAAACTTAAATTCTTGGGAATGCATTTTCTATCAGAACCAAAGGAGTCTTGGGATACTTTTAAGGCTCCTCCTCCATCATCATCATCATCTTTTTTTTTTTTAAGATTTATTTATTTATTCATGAGAGACAGAGACAGAGAGAGGCAGAGACACAGGCAGAGGGAGAAGCAGGCTCCATGTAGAGAGCCTGATGTGGGACTCGATCCCAGCATTCCAGGATCACTCTCTGAGCCAAAGGTAGACGCTCAACCGCTGAGCAACTCTGGTGTCCCTCCTTCCATTTTCTTTCATTCTTGCTTTCAAAGTCCTTTGGAGATTTAGGATTAAGTGGAGGTGTAATTCTAGCCAAGGTTCTGGGCTGAAGGTGGAAAGTACATAGCCCAAGGCCAGACCATAGGAAGTCAATTCATTCAGTCAGCCAGTCCATCAGTCAGTCTGTCCCCACCTCTACTAAGCTAATTCAGAACTCAGGTGGTGGTGGTGGGGGGAGGGCAGGAACACAAAAAAACAGAAGAAAAAACAAAGGTAAGGTATAAAGCTGGGAGGCAGAAGGAGAGGGTTTTCATGGTCAGGTCCTGTGACACTGGGAGGATTCAGGGACTGTCATACATAGGATTTAGGCTCTTTTCATCATCAGTTCAGCAAGGGGAAGGGGAGAAATGAATACAGATCCATTATTATATGCCGGGAACTGATCTGGATATTCTAAATAGAATAGAAAAACACCAGCTTACTCTGCACTGGATACTGTATTAGGTGCTATACAGACAGCATCCAGGTCACTCTTCTTCATAAACTCTATGAAGTAGGTGCTTTTTTCCTCCCATTTTACAGAGAGAAACATTAAGGCTAGAGAAAGAAAATAACTGCCCAAGGTCACTTAATAAGTTGCGAGGATGGTGCAAGCACACAGCCTGGTTCTAAAACACTATTTTTCATTTGTGTGGGGGTGGGAAGGGGCACAGATTCTCTGAAATTCTGACAAAACCTGTATAATCTTGCTAGTGAAAAATGAAGATGCATAAATACACAAAAAATTTAGAGGACTCAAACGTACACAGCTTAGAAAGAAGGGGAAAAAAAATGCCTTCTGAAACTTGCTATCAACACAACTCATTACAGCCAAAGTCACCTGTTAGACAGCAGGAGACACATCTAACAAAGTTAACACAATCGAAGAAACAGATCCATTGGAAGGGGAAGGTTTGGTTTACCATGAAAGCCAGAAAGGGCAAGTGAGGATGGGGAAGTAACTAGAACCCATGTAGCACTGTCCAGGGAAGAAAGGGACCCAGTGGGCAAAGCTGACTCTGATAGGGAATCAGAGATTTTGGAATATTAATGGTGTGACATCATTAAAACTTTTTTTCTTTTTTTTTTTTTTAAAGATTTTATTTATTTATTCATGAGAGACACAGAGATTGAGAGGCAGAGACACAGGCAGAGGGAGAAGCCAGCTCCAAGCAGGGAGCCGGACGTGGGACTTGATCCGGGGTCTCCAGGATCATGTCCTGGACTGAACGTGGCGCTAAACCGCTGAGCCACCCGGGCTGCCCCATCATTAAAGCTTTCTAAACAAAAACCACACTTTCCCTTTTCCCTGTTGAGATTCAGAACTTACTCAAAAACCATTGACTATAATCTGGCTGTGTAGGCATCTACCTTCCAGGGGAAAATATGCTGGTTATAATAGAACCTTTTGCCAATTTTTTTTTTTAAAGCTTTTATTTATTTATTCATGACAGAGAGAGAGGCAGAGACACAGGCAGAGGGAGAAGCAGGCTCCATGCAGGGAACCTGACGTGGGACTCGATCCTGGGTCTCCAGGATCACACCCTGGGCCAAAGGCGGTGCTAAACCGCTGAGCCACCCGGGCTCCCCCTTTAGCCAATTTTAAATTAATAAGCATGTCCTGATTATACTTCTGCTCCTGTGTGAGTCTGGTAGGTGTGAAGTTGCTTTAGAGACAGACATCCTAGGGGTAAGAAAAATGGTACTGCAGCCTGTGTCGCTGGGTCAGACTTGGGATGGCGCTGGTGCCACCCATGCCAGCCAGCTCTCCTCCATAAACACCAGGAACCTGAACCAATATTCCAATGACTTTCTATTATGAAACACTATCTAGAGGAGCCTGGGGATCTCCCTTTTAAGAGGATGGAGGGTTTTGTGAAGTCAAAATTATCTTCATCAAAGTATTAAGCCATTATTTGTCATTTTCACTTCTTGAGAGTGTAACAGGCTTTGTGATGTATACTGCAACAGAGCAGCTATGAGAATTTAGTGGTCTTTTATAGTAAAGAGGCCAGCAAAACTGTAAATAATGCCACCTTCCTCACTTTTTTTTTAAATAGTAAATTAAAAAATATTTTATATATATATATATATATATATATATATATATATATATATATATATATAATAGGCCTATTACTATTATTTAAAAAACTAATATAAAAGATTCATGGTTTTGATTTCTAATATAGTAAATCTCAAAGATACAAAACCCCGCGTAAGTCAAAGCTCCTTGTGATCGTTAATAATAAGGGTGCCGAGGGGTTTCCTGGACCAACCAGTTTGAGAACTATAGCTCTAGGGCCCCAGACAGGGCAGCCAAGGGGCTTCTGCAAGCCTGTTTCCAAGTGTTCCATAAGATACCAACGGCTTCTTTTGAGCAATTTCTGTTTTGGTACCAAACACGATTTCCTTTCATGTGTATCCTACCTTTATTTCCATACAGTTCTGGAGGCAGGTCATATGGCACAGGAAAGGCGGCTGCTGGCTCCTTGCTCCCTGAGAAGAATTTCTGTTTTACTTTGAAGCTGTCCAAGCCCTGTGAACACATAGAGGGAATCTCTGTTTGCACCCCATTTTCTGAAAAAGATCTCAAGAAGCAATGATATCTTTATGGTACTCATAGCAAAACTGAAGTTATTTCAGAGCTATTTTTCAATGTTTGATAGGTAAGATATTTACACCTGCCTTAATCTTTCCTAAAAAGAGGAGGTTTGAATTTTAAAAATTAAATTTTAACAAAGTTCACAAAGTTTAATAAAAGAAAAAACAATTGTGGCTCTCATAGCCCATTTCTCCTAGCCGCTCTGTACAGTCTGCAAGGAGTGTGTACAAGACACTGTATATAAATAATTCCAATATTGCTATAGTAACAGGCTGCTCACTCTGGTGTAAGAATAAAAGTTGCCTTCATGTATAATGAAAGTGTTCCAATATAATGTGAGAGGAATATAGAAACAAAAACTATTCCAGACTCACCAAACTGGAAGGTTTATTCCAAGAACTCCAGAATAGGGTATTATTTTTAGATCTTAACCAGGGTACAAGGTATTCTGTATCTCGGCTGATGTGGAGAACCACTGCAGCCTTCTAGGACAGGGCCCCTGCAGCAGTGCAGGTGTTTAACATGTGAACCTCACGCTCCCCATGCCTCCACATGCCGATCCTCCTCTTCTGGCTTCCCTGGTGGGTTATCCCAGCACCTTGCTTGCAAATCAGTTTGCCTCTCATCCCCTTCTGTTTACCCATCCAAACACATACCCACCCTCTGTCCTAAATACCCGCATGTCAAATAGTGCTCCTGTCCTTGGAACCCTACAAAGAACCAGAACTATAGTGCTTAGTCTTGATGCTCAGAGAAGTGAGCAGGGGAGGCTGCTCATGGGCCTCGGATAGGACATGGTAAGAGCTGGAGTTACGCTGCCCTGGGCTTCAGGCAATGAGTTATAACACATTGCTCTGGCATTCACGGAGCTGTGAGAATGGCTGGTATTTGCGTTTGTTCATTCAACACATTTCTTGAGTGCCCCTTCTGTGTAGGCATGGTGCCAGGCACTGAGTGCCTAAAGTTAACAAAGATGTCATCATCCCTGTCCTCATGGGTCACATAGTCTAGTGCGTTTATAAATAAGTAAAATAAATACATACTTGTGAGGACCACTATGAAGAAAAGCAGAAGTACTACAAGAGAGAATAGACCTGTTTTAGACATGGGGGTTGGGGTGGGGGGGTTTGCCAAGAGAAGCCTCCCTGAAAAAGTGATTTTTTTTTTAAAAAAGATTTTATTTATTTATTTATTCATGAGACACAGAGAGAGAGAGGCAGAGAGAGAAGCAGGCTCCATGCAAGGAGCCTGATGCGGGACTTGATCCCAGGACTCCAGGACTACACCCTGGGCCAAAGGCAGGCACTAAACCGCTGAACCATCCAGGGATCCCCAAAAGTGATGTTTTAATTAGACTCTGAAAGAGGAGTCGGGCTAGAAGAGGTGAGAGTGGAAATATTCCAGGCAGAAGAAATAGCATCTGAAAAGGTGCAGAGGTGGCAAAGAGCTTGTGTGTGCCAGGAGCTAAAACCAACGGTCAGTGGGACACCTGGACACTCGGTTACTAGACCCCAATTTCCTCATCTGCAAAATCAGAATGAAGCAATCTGAATGTCATCACGTTAAAGTGTCTCTTCCACATCAGCACCTAGTCTTGGTGCACAGCTGGTGTTCAAGCAGTGCTGAGCTGCAAAAATAGGATAAAGGTATCTTGTCTGCTGACTCTAGAGGCTTTTGCATAAGAACAAATCAAACGGGTAAGTGCTCTGTGCACAAGAAGACCTGTAGAAAGGTACAGGTGATGAAGAAAGGTCCAGCATTGATGAAGATGATGAGTAACACATCAAAAGGCGGTAAGTGATAACCTGTTGAATGCAACCTAGAAAAGGAAGATATGCCTTTTTACCAATTTTGGGATAAGGAAAGGCTTTGTAGAAAAGATTACAGCTGGGTCTTGAGAAATTGGTCTAATTTTGGTAAACAGAGAGATGGCAGGCAAGAACATCAAGGGAGATCAGCATAACACAAGGCAGATTTGGAAAAGCACAGAGCAGGCCCATTAGGGGGGGATGGGGAGTGAATGAGCTAACGCACAGGAGGCGGCCTGACAACACTGGAGAGAACCGGACAGGAGACGGTTTGAATGGGAAGCAGTATGGGTCTCTGTGGCCTGTACCTCTTTAACTGGGCCCAAACCCAGGCCTTGGTGACTCCTCTCAGAGGTGTCAGGGAAGAGGCAATCTTTCATTTAGTAAGATGGGAGCCTTAAGCTGCTGGGGGCTCTCAAGTACTTCAAAATGAACTGATAATACAGTCCAAAACCCTGGATTCAGCTGTGCCTGAAGCAAGGGACTCACTTCCCGGGTTTTGCCTTTTTTCTTACCCTGGTTGGGGTTGGTTGTGTGTCACTTCTGATCCACAGCAGCACGGGTCCCCCGGCTAAAGGGTATGGCCCCGACTCTGATATACTGTGGGGAGCTGCAGGTTTCTGAATGGAGAAGCTCCACTCTAAAGGCTGACGGGCACAGATGAGAACAGATCTAATTGCCAGTCAGAAGACTGAGAGCCTGGGAGGTGGGACAGCGGATGGTAACAGGGACACAAGACAGCATGGTGACAAAAGCTCAGAGACAAACCAGCTGCATTCAGAAGAGAGTGGGTAGGGTCAATGGAAGGGGAAGGAAATGGATTTCAAAGACAAGGAAGGAAAACATTAAAAATCAGGGATATGTGAAGGCAGAGGAGGGAGGGGGCAGGAGGACCAAGGACACCTGAAAAGGAACACTGCCACCTGCCCCCTCGCCCACACTTCCTCCCACCCTGCAGAGGGCTGCTGGGCCATCTCCACATCAGTCAGTGTTGGTGCCCTCCTCACAGCTAACCTTCAACTAGTTCTGGATCTGAGAAGAACCTTATGTGCTTCCTTGTGCTTATCCCTTATTTGCTGTGTGACTCTAGGAAAATTACTTAACCCTTCTGGGCCTGAGTTTCCTCACCTAGTAAATCGTATGCTGACAGTAATTTATTTAGAACCATGACTTGCATGTGGATAGAAATTAGTACATTTACCATGTTCTTGTGATGAAATTACTCCTATTTTATTGGGGACGAAATAAAATGGAGGCTAGATAGATGCCCAAAGTCGTATAGCCACTAAGTGGTAGGGCTGGAGGTCAAACACTGCCTTTCTGATTCTTAGTCTTCTGTTCCTTCAACTAAGCAAACAATCTCATGTTCACCCACCAGAAGCCACAACAAAGGAAGAGTACCTTGAAAGTGTAAGAGGTAACGCTAACACAGACCAAATCATGAGGAACCAAATTCTGGAATGAGTCCAGAGGTTGGGAAGTGATGTCATTTAATGATTAGCAAATACTTTACATGGAGTTTCAGGTAAAAACTTCCATATCCTTTGGCTCCTACTCTATTTCTGTTATTTTCAAAAAAATCATGGTAAAGGATGACAAGCCTTTACAGCCTGGCCCACATCTGATGCCCCAACGTGTTTTGGCACGTGCCTGTTCTGTGCTGTCTCACTTCACATAAGAGAAGCTTTGAGCCATCCACGTCTGACAGGAAGTAATATGCTTTCCTGAATGCCATTTAGATCAAATTCTAGGGTATTATAGGGGTGGAAAGGGAAAAAAAGTACCATTTTCCCTTTCAATCTGGGTGTCAAATAATTTGAGGCTGTCATCTAATTATCATTATTTATACATCACAGTGGTATCACTTGGCAGTTTATAAAACAGAGGAAGGCACCCTCCCAGGCACAGATACTTAAAAGACAGTTAAGACAATATATTTATAAAACACCAGGTGAGAGGGTGGACAGCTATCACACTTGAGAAATTACTGGCTTTTCCCTTCATCAGCCCTGGGAGGAAAAGAACTGTTATCACCGTGACGGATTAAGTTTGGCGGCTTAGCTCAACCAGAGAGAACAAGAAACATGTGCGAATTTCAGTTGGAGGTACTGTGTATTTTTTAGTTGCATCCGATCAGCATCCTCCAGCAGTAAAACCCTTTACAAGGCATCAAGTTTTCGGTAAAACGGTAATGACAGTGAGCCTTCTAGAAGTAGCATAGGTAATCAAAGATGGTCTAATTGACAAGGAGGTGAAATACAGAAAGGTGGCTGTTTTGTCTTTCCCATAAGGCCATGTATGACCCACTGTGTTTCCGGGTGGGGGCTTAGGGAAAGCTTCATGGAGGGGAATAAGCCCAACAGGCACAAGAAGGGTGGGTTTTTGATAAGTGAAGGGCTAGGTCTATGGGGTGGAGTATACTTCAGAAGGAGAAAAAGGAACAGCATCCTATCAATCACCACGGGTATGAGTTCAAGAGTTTGACCTCTGCCTCCCACCTGCTGAATTGCTTGGTCCACGTGTTGGTGCTGCTACTGCCAACTGCTCAGTACTTGCCAAGTGCCAGGCACTGATTGAACAATTTATAGGCACTCTCAATTCTCAAACAATGCTACAAAGTGAGTTACTGCACTGTCCCCACTTCACACTGAGAAAATGGAAGCCCATGGAAGGAATAGGTCCAAAGCCTAACAGCTTGTATGTGGGACCCCAACTCCAGTCATCTTGGTTCCTCCAGCACTGTGGGCTCCCAGAGTTCCTTGGCTTGGTCCCTGTTTGTTTTCCAACACATTCTACATTCTCTTTCCATAATAATCACTTTCTAAGAGGTAAAGACTAGTAGCACAGGATCATGCAACTAATAAGTGGCATTTGTGCTACTCATGACACAGCCTACCTCGCTCATCTGCCAACAAGCACTCACAGGTGACTGGAGCTCTGGGGGTGTGGGGGATGCAGGGGGAAGGGCAGGAACAGAGGTTGGGAGGCACGCTGTTCCAGGTCACAGTGGGCCCTGCCATCACGCAAAGAATTCTGGACGTTGTCTTGTGGGCCAAGAGGACACACTGCAGGTTCAAAGTCAGGGGAATGCAGACCCTGGCAGGTGAGCTCTGGAGGTGTAGTCGT